ATACATCTTGAATTGCTCAGAGGACTCTAAAATATTTACCTGGGCCTTGTTTACCTTGTTCAAAAGGTTATTATGTTTCATGCCATCAGATATTATTGAGTTCAATCTCTTATTATTCTTCTTAGTATTTCCCAGGATGAAAATACAGTGTATCAGATAAAGACTGAGATTCAGAATTGGCTTTTTTGGAGAACTTTTTAAATTCAATGTGTTTGTCATTGTTTTAACTCTGTTACTGTTTTTTAGAGAAAATGGAGCTAAGGAAAGGAGTGTATTTGATAATAAAAGTTTCTCATTCTACTAATCAGATTTCAGGTGATGAAATGTCATCAGTATTTGTGCAGTAGTGAAAACATTATTTTGATCTTGGTGTCAAGACAAAGGTAGGAAGGAGAGAGGAAAAGGAAACAATGAAAAGAGAAAGGAGGGGCTTCCCTGGTGGCGCAGTGGTTGAGAGTCTGCCTGCCGATGCAGGGGACACGGGGTTCGTGCCCCGGTCGGGGAAGATCCCACATGCCGCGGAGCGGCTGGGCCCGTGAGCCATGGCCACTGAGCCTGTGCGTCCGGAGCCTGTGCTCTGCAACGGGAAAGGCCACAACAGTGAGAGGCCCGCATACCACAAAAAAAGAAAAAAAAGAGAGAGAGAAAGGAAAAGAGGGATTTGTCTTAAAATTGGGTTTGAATCGAGCCATATATATACCTAGGAAACCATTATGGAGTTTGCGCCCCAACTGGACAAACATAGAGTAGATGGAAAAGTAGAATGGAGGATAGACTGTGGCACGATCTATATGACAATTTTGTTTTTCTCCTAATAAACACTCTACTCATTTGATAGCATTTTTATTAACCTAATTCTTTATAACCTCTAAGACCTAATATTCATATGTAGATTATATAAATCACCATTTTAAGACTTTATTCTAGAAAAATACTCAAATTTGATTTTAAAGTGATTTGGATATTCAGGTTTGTAAGGAGAAAATGTTTCCAGTGATTACATCATCTCTATGCATGTGCAATTTAATATAATACCTACTAAGTACCAGGCATTCAACACAATCATTTAATCAGTGATTACTATTCTCACATAGGAGATAAAGGTCTCAGTTTGTAAACCACTGGCTATGGAGGTGGGAAGAAGATCTCTGATTACGCCCCAAGGGAGTCAAATAAAGCACCTCCGTATCAAAAGCGAAGTTTTAAGTTTAGTATGCCTCTGGTTTTGGACCATAAAAAAAACTTTGGCCTTGGGAATCAGATATGTCTGTTTAATGCTAGCTCTTTCACTTTCATGCACTAGGTGTGTAACCTTGGACAAATTACCTATCTTCTCTCAACCTTCCTTTCTCTATCTGTAAAATGGAGTTAAAAATACGAGCCACAGAGACTCATTAGCATCAAATGAAGTGAGCTGTGAAAGTTCTACAACAGTCCCTGACAAAGTAGACCATCAGGAAATGTTACAAGATAGTAAGAATAACTTTTCAATGGTGTGGCATAATGTCAGCAGCTTTTCCTGTTGAAGGGAAGCATTTTCTGTATGAGAAGAACGTTTCCTCAAAAAATAAGATATTATTTAATGTGCTGCTTTTGTCAATTTGGCAAAGGTTAAACTTACAAAATATCCAGAAATTTCTAATCATTGCAAGTTAGCCTATCACATCATCAAGGCCATTCTGATATGAATTTAAACTAGAATTGCCAAGTTGAATGAAATTTCACTTCTGGTTTGCTCCAGTCCTCCAGATAGACTTAGTTTAAAATCAGAGAAGACTTTTGGATAGACCATGCTTTAAGGTTTTCATCTGGATTTTTAAATAGGACAGTTATACAACTTGAATAGCCACTGACTCCACTTAATCTCTCACTTTTCATAATCCTCACATTAACGTTATCCATAGAAATACATAGAGTAGTATATTATTATGATTCAAAGTTCCTCGAAAATGTGTGTTCCATTCCTCAGCTAGAAGTTTCTTTGCAAACGTAGCCTCTATGTGTGTATGTGTCCCTGTTAAAGAAACTAGTATTGAAATACAAGATTATACAATATTAGCATCTTACCTTCCTGTCATTTGTGCTCCCCACGATTTGGAGAAAAGCAGAAAACTGGTATTCTGCGTCTGAATCTACTCTAGCAATGAAAGTGAAAAGAAATCACATCCTCAAACTTGAGGGAGGATAGTATGCAGATTGTGAAAAATCCTTCAACTGTCCCATTTTACACAGTCTCCTGCCCAATGTTGAATCCTATTTTCAAAGGGAATTGTTGAGGTTTAAAAATATATAGTTTAAGGGAAGTGGAAAAGCCACTTGGTCCATTGTCTCCTAAATGCATTAAAAATATTCCCTTTCTAAGGCATCTTGAAGAAGCATGCAAATTACAAGGCTTGTGAGAACCACTGTTGAAAAATACTGTGCGGTATCTTCATGTGATGTTTGCGACAATTGCTGGAGGTAACTACTACCCACTTTCCTTCAGCATCATTTCAGAAGATCAGCAAAAAATGCTGTTAACTCTAAGAGACTCAAGCTGTCAAAATCTATTAAAGTGACATACCGTTAATGCTAGCTCAACCTAAAAAACAATCATCCTGTAATGAAATGCTTTATAGAAACTCAGGAAAGCTAGGAAATACATGCTTCTCTACTAAATTAGCCGGTATTTGAGACCCATGGTGGTGTGGTATAGAAATGGTAATTTGACTCCCTGCGGTGGCTTAGTAATGGCCCCTTCATACTTATCCATAGGTGTGTGTGCTTTTGTGAATATGTCTTAGAGACCTAGAAATGACTTTCCTCCAAAAAGGGGGGAAGAATTTGGAAGAAGCAGATGTGGGTAAAAAGAAGGGAAGTTTATTTTCCTTAGTCACCTCCCAAATTTGTTGCTAGTATATAAAAACGTAGACATCAACAGACTCTCATACACACACACACGCACACACGCACACACACACACACAGCACACACACACTTTGAACTGAGGCATGTCTATAAAGAGCATCTTTACAGTGACTTTATTTTTCAAATGGGAGCAGCAAGCTCTGAACCCAGTGCAACTATCCTCACAACAGGATAGTCATAACCCCCTTTCTGTCCATGGGCATCAAGTCTTTATTTGAGGGGAAAAGCCTAGATGATATTGACATGACTGTAAATGAGGACCAGAATGAGATACTGCAGTACTTTACATCCTTCTGATAGTCGATAATGAAGTGCTATCACACTATACAGAAGTCACATTGGAGGAAAATAAAAGCTAGCATGCTCTCCTGACAATTTATAATTTCACCAACTTCATAGACTTCATTTCATCAGATTATTAGAGCCCTGCTCAGAGGGATCAATCATTGAGGAGTTCCTAAGTGTGAAGAACATGATTGGAAAGTATTTTCTGTTTACCCCACATGAAAGTAAGAAATAAAAGGGAATCTTCTTTAAGAGCAGAAACTTCATGACCCAAGGATATTAATGTTTCAGTTCTCAGATCAGAGATGGCTCTACACTTAGGCAGATGTACTATCATCCAGAAAACACTATTTAAAGAGAGCTTTAACACTCTGGAATCATTTGCCCACTGCCCACCTTAACTCCATCCTTCCTCCTTTCCGCCTTGAAATTCCCTTCATTAAGTAGGCACTTAAACTCTGGAAGCTTGCTATGAAATATGCTTCCTGGGAGAATTTTCTGAACTTTGCTTTAAGTGCAGATTGGTTCATCAGATTATTTAGGTAACACTTGTAGCTCTGATACAATAAAATATAGTTAAATTTCACTGAAGAAAGAGAAAATACATGTGAATTGATATTATAATTTTGACTTCCTTACAACTGTGTTCAAAGATCTCTATTATCTGGCTTTAGTTTATATTTCTAACCTTTTTTCCCACTTTTTCCTTTCACATTGCATTCTGACTCTTCCCTATATAAACGTCACTTTTCTACACCTGTGACTCTGCTCATTTCTGAAGCCCTCACAGATGTCACATCCTTGATAATTTGTCCATTGATAGATGAGATAACTTGAGACAGCTATTCACAGTAAAGATTTTAGCTCCAATGTATGGTTTCGAGTAGTTCTCAAGTAACAAATTACAGTGTGCGTAAGAATCACCTGGAGTGCTAGCCAAAGATGGAGATTTTGCGGCTCCACCTCAAAGATTCTGATTTGGTAGTTCTATGAGAACTACCAGACTCCCAGAATATGCATTGTTAATAAGTCCACCAGATGATTCCAATGCAGGTAATTCCAGGACCTCTTTTCAAGACAGTGCTCTAATAACCTTTCTCCTTTGCTTTTTAAATTTCTGGCAAAAGACTTCCCAGAAAACATTTTTTAAAATGAAATTGTCATTAAAAATTATTAATTCCCAGAATTCCATTCCAAAAATGCTAGAGTACAGACATTTTTATCTATCTTCTTAGCTGGATTGAAAGTATTTAGATGGAAGATAGCTAAATGTGGGTTAATGAAATTGCTGTTAATTACTTTTTGAGAAAATGTAGGAATCCCAAGAACATGCTATAATTTGCATCACTTTTGTACTGCCTCTACCAGCTCTGTAGTTAAAGGGTAACAAAACAACCATTTATGAAAGGGCAGGTTTAAGATGAAAATAATTCTTTTGCAAAACTCAGGAAACAGTATCAGAGCCTGCGAACTGTGCGCTTCCAACTGGAGAATCCTGTATTTGTAATAAATTCCTTTTGCTCTGGATGAGTTCTGCATTTTCAATGAGGTTAACTTGGCAACATTCTAGTTGATTTTAATAAAAATAGCTGCTTTGAGGACAGGGAGCTGAGGTTGCCAATTTTACAGCTGCCTTTGCACGATTACTCTTACACCTCCTTCAGGGCTACTTAGAACCAGTAAGCAAATTAAGTGTATCGATTGCAATATTGTTGGTCTAACCCCCTCTTTTTTTTTTTTTTCCCTTAAGGAATAAACTTGGTTCCTTTCAGTATGTGTCTGTTCAGAGTGATCTCTTTTCTTTTCAGCCATAACACAAAGACAACATCATGGCTGGATCCACGACTTGCGAAAAAGGCTAAACCTCCAGAAGAATGCAAAGAAAATGGTAGGTTATTTAAGTTTTTATGGTGTTTCGGCGTTGCACTTTGAGAGTATGTGTGTTTCTTAAGAGAGGGTCTTGTCTAAAGAAGCCATAATCTGATTGAGACAATTTTAAAGCTGTAATATTTAATGCCCAGATAGGAGAAAGAATTAACTCGGCATTTCAGCAGTGCCATGTGGTTTTCCTTTTTCTCTCTGAGGGGACTGTGCTGGACATCACAGCTCTGTCATCTCTATGGGTTCTCTTTGACTCCTGGCCTGACTTCCCGCCACCTACTAGGGAGTTTTTGTTTGCAATATGTCTCTCTGAGGACTCTGATCTTTTCATTGGAATTAAATGTGGTGTATAGAGAAAAGTATTGTGGCACTATAAGTAATATTTTATTTTTGTGTTTTGAGGTATGGCATTCTTCTAGTTATTAAGGAATCGGTGATATAAAGATTTATATGTATGGCTCCTTTCCTTTAATCAAACATTTAAATACAACAATTAATTGCATGAATGTGCTGGGTTATCTTTAGTATTTTCCAGTTCCCGATGTAATGACGTTAATTTGCTTAAAAATTGACTGTTTTCATCTATGTGAAGAGTTTTTTAAAATAATTTTGAGGATTAGATGAAAGTAAACCTTGTTTTTAAATTAGTAAATTATATAAATGAAGTGTTACTGATGATGCTTACAAGTTTTTTTAACATTGAGTTTAATGTTAAAAGAGTACTTATAATTTGTCTAAAATGATAAATAGCGTATACTCCTGATGATTCATTATTTGACCACATTCACAGCCTTTATCTGATCAAATTATTAGAGCCTTGTTCAGAGGCATCTATCATTGAAGAGCTCTAAAAGTGAGGAAAGTGATGAGGAGTGTTTAAACTTTTAAAAAAGTTTTTAGAAAGTCAACTTTTTAAAAAGTCTATAACTGTAAAAGTCCTTTTATTTTAATGGTAATTCTGTTTTTCTCAGACAATATCAAGGTAATATTGTTCATTCCTGTGTTAATAAGGTAACTGTTCACAAGCTGGTTATACAACTGAGCTAAATAAAAAATCAGTTTACCGGCTATATGTACATATTTGAATGCATAACTGTCTAATTTTTATCACTACATATAATTTTATATTCATAGCTATGTCTGTATGCCTTCTGTATAAAAGTATAGCTATATGTGTGTGAATCTTTTACAATTATCCTGTGACCTGAGACTTTTGAGCACAATTAGGTTACATTTCATTGGCACTAATAAGACATATGTTACAAATTATGATAGGTTATAAATTAAAATGACCTGATCTGCTATATCTGGGAGTTATGATTTACTGATGCCACAGATATAAAACTATATATGTATATATATATATATACTAATTAAAATGAATTCAGTGATTTTGCAGTTCTGTACCTGTTGAACTTCTCAACTGTCTTGTACATTTGAGTTGTTCTTTTCATTATAAAAGGCTATTAAAGTCAAATTTTAAAATCCTGGGAGAGATGTAGGTTTAACATTTTGCATAACTGTAACATTTCAGTGTTATCAGTTTTTCCCATATCTGTACTCATCTGTCTTCTCAGCATGGTAGATGCCTAAAATATGATACCAGTACCTGTGAATTCACGTGATATTAAAAAACGAGTCCTAGAATACAGTCTAATAGCTCAGAGTGATTTATAACTGGTTAATTACTATTTTTCTTTTTCTACAAAATAAGTAATTCACAGATTTTATTTCATATGTTACTGGAGTATTTTACAATGTAAACTAACATCTAGTTAGAATGCTATTGTTCCAGGCACATATTTTAAGTTTTCTTACCAAGAAAAGTGCTTTTTGGTCATACTGTTACTTCTGTTTTATTTTTCTTTAAATAGCATAGATTAAAACTGCTTGTTTAAAACGTTGGATGTTAATGGGTTGCTGTTGAGCCTACTAGTTAAGACAGGCTTCTTTATATCTATCACAGGTCAGCGCAGATCAAAAAAGTTAGTAGTTTTCTGAATGCTGAAATATGTATAAAATGTGTGTAAAAATTGTAGAGGCTTAAGATGATAATATCTTTCACTAGGAAAGATTTATCCTTCTTCCACCATGGAGATAGAGTGGAGGCTAATTACCTTAATCCAATCAGAGCTGAGCCAACATGAGGTTGGGTTGAGCTTTGGTGAGACCCAGTCTACCTCTGGTTTGCTTTTGTTCTTAGGGTGTTTGCCTGCCCAGAGTTTCAACTAATAGCCTATTGTAGGTCAGCAAATATTTTCCATAAAGGGTCAGGTAGTAAATACTTTAGGCTTTGGTCACCCAGTTTCTTCGCAACTACTCATTGTTGTACAAAAGTGACCAAAGTCAATATATAAATAAAGGGTATAGATATATTTCAATAAAACATTGCTCATAGACGCAGAAATTTGAGTTTCATGAATTAAAATATTATCCTGTTGATTTTTTTCTCAAACATTTAAAATTATATAAACCGTTCTTAGCTCTTGGACCATACAAAACATAGGGGGAGGCTGGACTCGGTCCGAGGATGAACCCTGGCCTGGTGTATCCATGTGGAGCCTGCCCCTGGGCAGGTCTTGAACACCAATATTTTAAAAATATTTTTCTTCTCAGTAATGCAAGACTACCAAAAATCTGTGGTGCTTTTCAGGGGTTTTAGCTTAGTTTTTTGCCTCCAGACCTTGCATCTTCTGAATTTGACAGATGTCATCATGGAATGATTGGCATGTGTTAGAGCTTTGTCAGTCCCTCAAGACTCTGCAACAGTCTGCTAGTTTCTCTCAACCCCAGTGATGGCCTTCTTCCCAGGCCAAGTCTGGATTCTTTCCACAGCCCAGAATCAACAAAAATCATCTACAACATTCCTCCCTTACCTCTCCAGGATTCTTTCCTCTTCAGATTCTTAGACCATTTTAGATCTGTTGTTTCAGCAGTTCTCTGATTCCTTTGTATTGTTTATTTGTTATATTTGATCTAGATTTTCTATGTGTTCTCTTAACCTGCTCACTCCGTCCTACCTGGAAGCAGAAATTTTAGTGCAGTAATTTTTAAATTGTACATTTAAGACTTTACTGGATTGCATGCTATAAATTCTTTATTATCATTATAATGGTACTTAATCCCTCAAGATTGAATTCCATGTTATGTATGTGTGCATACTATTATGAATGTACATATGTATGTGTGTGTATGTAGATATGGATCTGTAAATGTATGCTTCTTCAGTTCTGTTTACATAGATGCTTGAAGGTGATTACTTAGTCACCTATAATAAGATGAAGTCAAGTAAAAGAGAGATGGAAGGATGTATCAACTGATTTAAATTATTCTTGGGTGAGAGAAAAAACTAGCAAATGTTTTCTCATTGGCATCAAGGAGGGAAAAGCCACCATGGATGGCTCAGTACAAATACTTATTAAACAACTACTTATTCTGTTGACGCTAAAGCAATCATTTTGCTTTTTTGTTTGAAGGATAACACAGCTACTAAACATAAAAACATACTTCCTTCTCTCAGAATATGGTTGAAAATAGTAAAGTCATTGTGCTCTGTGCATTTGTCACAGCTCTGTGCATTTTTGGAATTTAAGCACCAGTCTACATGGCAGAAAAAAGTCTCCACCTACTACAAGACTCTAATATTAGGATTTGGGGGAGTGCTGTTTAGCAAGCCAATATAGTCTTTTACAAAATGCAACAGAAATAACAGTTAACTATTAAATAATGTGGATGCAAGATCGGTTGAACTGTATATAAAGCACCATCATATTGTCCCCAGTCCTGAGAATCAGCACTGTGATGTTTGTCTGAGATATTTCCAATCATAAACATCCCAGTGGTGACACACTCCGCATGAATCACTGAATTAGGGTCAATATCAAAAGTGATTCAGTCCCTGTAGGACTCTTTATAAAGTTGAAAAGTGACTAAAATCAGTAGGACTACAGTATTGTATTCAGGAGAGGAAATTATGTAGGATTTGTAGTCAGGGAAAACTGTATTCCAAATCCAAATCTGTGGGCTTTTAGGCAGGTACTTAATCTCTGGGAGCCTAGGTTTTCTTACCTGTAAATGGAAATGATATCTATTTCATGCACATTTAGTTTCACAAACGAGGACAGAGTTTGTTGCACCATAGACTCTAAATAACTGCTTCTTTATTTTCATTCGAGTATGCTCTGAGCCAACAAATTAGTCTCATAGAAGGCAACGGGGAAGAAATTCAGAATAGTTGGCCTACCTTAAGAGCCTTTAATTTCTCTAGGGTGTCCTGAAGAGGTAGAAAAGAACAAACCCATGTAGGCAAAACTTATCCAGCTAGCTAATTCCAGCCTAATATTAATAGATTGGAGGTTCCCCCCCCCCTCCATTCTGTTAAACTAGCTCTAAATTTCACCAAGTTATAATTAGAGCTGTATGAATTGAGTGATGTCATTTCTGTATTCAGTATCTGTGAATTGTAAGTGAGTTGTTTCATGTTACCATAGGAAAGAAAAATCACATACTCTTAACCTTTTTACCTACGTGAAAACTGCATTTCAACTTACATTAACTAAAGCTTTGAACTATTACTTAATCTATCTTAAAAAAAAAAAAGCTATGTCCGAAATGCTCATGAACAAAGATAGCATAAACTTTGTTTCATAATATTTATTAAATGGATTTTTTCCAAGATAAGGAGGTTACCTTTCTAAAATAATAGAAAACGCTAATTAATTTCAGGTCATTTCTTTCTTTTATTTTTCAGGTCATTTCTTAAGTGAGTTTTATAGACATGACAGAAACATTTGGACATGCATATTTTTATTTTCATAGTTCAAATTCTTTTTCTAGACTACATAATTTATTTCCCTTAAATAGGGACTTTGGCCTACTTTCTCATTAAATTTGTATTGATAATTAGAGCTCCTAATTTCTCAAGATTAAATATGAGCAAATTAATATATCCCTTGAATATTTGTTTTTCTAATCTGATAAAACTGCTAAGATTATATTTGTAAAGTA